TCCTCTCAGCCTTCTCTTCTTCAGGCTAAACATGCCCAGCTCCTTAAGCCGCTCCTCATAGGGCTTGTTCTCCAGACCCTTGATCATTTTAGTCGCCCTCCTCTGGACACATTCCAGCTTGTCAATATCTCTCTTTAATTGTGGTGCCCAGAATTGGACACAATATTCCAGGTGTGGTCTAACCAAAGCGGAATAGAGGGGTAGCATGACTTCCCTAGATCTAGACACTATGCTCCTATTGATGTAGGCCAAAATCCCATTGGCTTTTTTTGCCGCCACATCACATTGTTGGCTCATGTTTAACTTGTTGTCCACGAGGATCCCAAGATCTTTTTCACACGTACTGCTCTCGAGCCAGGCATTGTCCCCCATTCTGTATCTTTGCATTTTGTTTTTCCTGCCAAAGTGGAGTAGCTTGCATTTGTTGAACTTCAACATCCCCAAGAGTAGATGTTCTCCCCATCCTCAGTGTCACACATCACCAAGTCTTTCCTATGAAAGCCTTGTGATGCCACTGGGCTCTCCAGGCACAGTGCCTTTGAGGAATCACAAGGGTCCTTCATGAGCGCTGGCCAGGGTTGCTTCCAGGTGCCCAGTGGCAACAGGGAAGGACAAAGACTCTGATATCTGAGGCTCCCCAATGCTGTTTGGAGGAACAGAGATCTGCAAACACACTGGATGGCTGCATTTTTTTTGGAATTGGCAAGAGAAGAACACAGATGTGGCCTGTGGATGGCTCAGCCAAAGACGGAGTTGCCAGTTGGAATGGCATCCTATAATGTTGGCAGAGGCTGAAGTTGGATGAGGGGTGCCATCCTGTATACCAGGACTTCATGGATGCTTTAAGGGTCCATTGATGGGCTTTAGAGACTTCACAAGTAGACTTTTCTCTCCCATTTATTTCCTTCTTGTTACTTTAAATATCAGACCAAATTTTAACCTTTTTAACAGAGCTTCTTTTCCCCTGCACAAAGGAGAACAACTTGGAATAAAACAATTGCATGCAATTAAGTGCCATTATTTTTCCTGGCTCCATGGCTCTCCAAGAGGTCCCTGACCCAGACCAAGAACCACAGAGTTTGGATTGTCGAAGGCTTTCATGGCCAGAATCACTGGCTTGCTGTGAGTTTTCTGGGCTGTATGGCCATGTTCCAGAAGCATTATCTCCTGATTTTTCGTTGTCGAAGGCTTTAATGACCAGAATCACTGGCTTGCTGTGAGTTTTCTGGGCTGTATGGCCATGTTCCAGAAGCATTATCTCCTGATGTTTTGCCTACACCTATGGCAGACATCCTCAGAGGTTGACAGAACTGTTGGAAACGAAGCAAGTGAGGTTTATACATCTGTGGAATGTCCAGGGTGGGAGAAATAACTCTTGTCTGTTTGAGAAAAGTGTGAATGTTGCAATTGGCCACCTTGATTAGCACTGAATGGCCTTGCAGCTTCAAAGCCTGGCCGGTTGTTGCCTGGGGGAATCCTTTGTTGGGAGGTGTGTGGGCCATCAGGGCCAGCTAACACCTCCCAATTTATTTATTTATTTATTTTGATTACTTCTACCCCGCCCTTCTCAACCCCCCGGAGGAAGACTCAGGGCGGCTTACAAAAGGCACAATTCGATGCCTACACAATAATACAAATAACGTATAAAACAGCAATTAAAACAGTTATAACAGTTAAAACAATCAATATATAACATAATCAATAACACTAATCTCATGCTCAGCGTTCGCCATTCAGAGTCCATAACTTCATTCCACTTTGTCCATTCTTACCAACAAAGGATCCCTCCAGGCAGGAAGGAGCCAGGCTTTGAAGCTGCAAGGCCATTCAATGCTAAACAAGTTGGCCAATTGCAATATTCACACTTGCCTCAAGCACCCCACCCCGGACATTATTCCACATATATATAAACCTCACTTGCCTAATTTCAACAGACTTGTCAACCTCTATAACTGCCATAGATGTGGGCAAAATAAAAGGAGAGAATTTTGGCCTGCATCAATAGGAGCATAGTGTCTAGATCCAGGGATATCTTGCTACCACCCTATTCTGCTTTGGCCAAACCACACCTGGAATCACATTGAGTCCAATTCTGGGCACTAAAATAGAAGGGAGATATTGAAAAGCTATGTGTTCAGAGGAGGGTGTCTTAAATAATCAAGGGTCTGGAGAACAAGCCCTATGAGGAGCGGCTTAATGAGTTGGGCATGTTTAGCCTGCAGAAGAGAAGCCTGGGAGGAGACACTATGAGGGCCATGTATAAATATGTGAGGGGAAGTCATAGGGAGGAGGGAGCAGGCTTGTTTTCCGCTACCCTGCAGACTAGGACGCAATGGAGCAATGGCTTCAAACAACAGAAAAGGAGATTCCACCTGAACATGAGGAAGAACTTCCTGAGTGTGTGAGAGAGCTGTTCAGCAGTGGAACTCTCTGCCCCAGAGTGTGGTGGAGGCTTTTAAACAGAGGCTGGGTAGCCATCTGTTGGGGGTGCTTTGAATGTGATTTTCCTGCTTCTTGGCAGAATGGGGTGGGACTGCAAAGATACAGAATGTGGGATGCCTGGCTTGATTGCATGTGTGAAAAAGATCTTGGAGTCCTTGTGGACATGAAGATGAACATGAGGCAACAAAGCCATGCAGCAGCTAAAAAAGCTAATGGGATTTTAGCCTGCATCAATAGGAGTCGATTGTCTAGATCCAGAGAAGTCATGCTACCCCTTTATTCTGCCATGATCAGACCACACCTGGAATCACACTGTGTCCATTCTGGGCACCACAATTGAAGGGAGATATTGACAAACTGAATGTGTCCAGAGAAGGGTGACTAAAATGATCAAGGGTCTGGAGAACAAGCCCTATGAGGAGCGGCTTAAAGAGCTGGGCATGTTTAGCCTGCAGAAGAGAAGGCTGAGAGGAGACATGATGATAGCCATGTATAAATATGTGAGAGGAAGCCGCAGGGAGGAGAGAGCAAGCTTGTTTTCTGCTTCCCTGGAGACTAGGACGTGGAACAATGGCTTCAAACTACAAGAAAGGAGATTCCATCTGAACATTAGGAAGAACTTCCTAATGGTGAGAGCTGTTCAGCAGTGGAACTCCCTGCCCTGGAGTGTGGTGGAGTCTCCTTCTTTGGAGGCTTTGAAACAGAGGCTGGATGGCCATCTGTCAGGGATGGCTGGAGGTGATTTTCCTGCTTCTTGGCAGCAGGTTGGACTGGATGGTTCATGAGGTCTCTTCCAACTCTAGGATTCTATGATTCTATGATCTGTCAGGGATGGTTGAAGGTGATTTTCCTGCTTCTTGGCAGGGGGTTGGACTGAATGGCCCAAAAAGTCTCTTCCAAATCCTGACTGTGTGAGAGAGCTGTTCAGCAGTGGAACTCTCTGCCCCAGTGTGTGGTGGAGGCTTTTAAACAGAGGCTGGATGGCCATCTGTTGGGGGTGCTTTGAATGTGATTTTCCTGCTTCTTGGCAGAATGGGGTTGGACTGGACGGCACAGGAGGTCTCTTCCAACACTATGATTGTATGATTGCTTCTGGAACATGGCCATGCAGCCTGGAAAACTCACAGCAAACCACAGATCTTGTTTACATAGAATCCTAGAGTTGGAAGAGACCTCGTGGGCCATCCAGTCCAACCCCATTCTGCCAAGAAGCAGGAAAATCACATTCATATCTCTAAGAAGTGGCCTTAAACACCAAGGATGGGGTCCTAGTCCTGCAGGAGGAGATCCTCCCCTAACTCAGAGAGAGAGGGAGGATGGAAGGAAGGAAGGAAGTGTGGAAGGGAATGGAAGGAGGGAGAAAAGAGAGAAGGAAGGAAAGACAAAGGGTAAAGAAGGAAGGAAGGAAAGGGAAAGAGTGAGGAAGGGTTTATAGAATCATAGAATCAAAGAGTTGGAAGAGACCTCGTGGTCCATCCAGTCCAACCCCATTCTGCCAAAAAATTACATTCAAATCACATTCAAATCACCCCCGGCAGATGGCCATCCAGCCTCTTTTTCAAAGCCTCCAAAGAAGGAGCCTCCACCACACTCCAAGGCAGAGAGTTCCACTGCTGAACATCTCTCACTGTTAAGTTCTTCCTAATGTTCAGGTGGAATCTCCTTTCCTATAGTTTGAAGTCATTGCTCCCTGTTGTAGTCTCCAGGGCAGCTTGCTCCCTCCTCCCTATGGCTTCCTCTCACAGATTTATCCAGGGCCCTCATCACGTCTCCTTTCAGCCTTCTCTTCTTCAGGCTAAACATGCCCAGCTCTTTAAACCGCTCCTCATAGGGCTTGTTCCCCAGTCCTAGTCTCCAGGGCTGCAGAAAACAAGCTTGCTCCCTCCTCCCTATGGGTTCCTCTCACATATTTGCCCATGGCCTTCATCATGTCTCCTCTCGGCCATCTCTTCTTCAGGCTAAACATGCCCAGCTCTTTAAACCGCTCCTCATAGGGCTTGTTCTCCAGTCCTAGTCTCCAAGGTTGCTCCCTCCTCCCTATGGATTCCTCTCACATATTTGCCCATGGCCCTCATCATGTCTCCTTTCAGCCTTCTCTTCTTCAGGCTAAACATGCCCTGCTCTTTAAACCGCTCCTCATAGGGCTTGTTCTCCAGGGTTTGCTTGAAGGCAAGACATAGGGGTCAGGAGCAGCAGGAAAGAGGAGGAGGAGGGCAGAGGTGTAAACATGGCCCTCCTCCATAGGGTCCCGAATGAAGGAAACAGCTCAATGGAGAGCCTGGGGGACTGAAGTATCTCCATCTCTGCAGGTCCTAGAGATGCATGGAGGAAGAGGCGAGGCTGGGGGGTGATGCTGAAGGGTCGTGGGAATGGGGTGGAAGTTGAGGTGCACGCCTTTCTCTCTCTCTCTCTCTCTCTCTCCCCCCCCCCCCCCCCCCCCTTTCTCAGCCCCACATCCCGTTCTCCGGCGGCGCTTCTTGACAGGGAGGAGAAGAGGAGGGGGAGGAATGGAGGGGACCCACCCGACCCCAGGGAGAAGGGGGAGGTCCCAGACTCACGTTGCTGCCCAGCTCCTGAAGCGCAACGTTCATCCTGGCGATCATGGAGGAGGAGGAGGAGGAGGTGGAAGAAGAGGAGGAGGAAGAAGAAGAGGAAGCGAGCCTCGCCGCTGTGATGCGGCCGCCTCCTCCTAGCTCCGCAGCCGAGAGGAGGAGGAGGAGGAGGAAGAGGAGGAGGAGGAGGAGGAAGCTCCCTCTGTGTGGGCCATGCTGAGCTGCCCCTGTGAGTGAATGAGTGTGTAGATGGGTGGGATCCGTCCTCCTCTCTCCATCCCTCCTTCCTTCCCGCCTCCAAAGATGATGTGTATCTCTCCCTCTCCCTCTCTCTCTGAGTGAGGCTCTCCTCTCAGTTCCCCTACCTGCCAGCTTCCTTCTTATGATGATGGGGAGCACGAAAGCCTCTCTTTCCCCCTCCCTCGGGCTCTGAATCCCTCCCCTTGCTTTACACGCACTGGATGGCGACGCACGCAAGTTGCTAGTCCTCATGACGGGCTCAAGCCAATCCCCGACTCACTCCAAAAGGGATGGAGCTCTTCGGGTTCTCCTAATGACGCTCTCCTCGAAGCCCTAAGCCTGGCAAGGAACTCACCCCTGTTCCTATTTGTTGTGAACGTGCTGTTTCAAGGCTTTTCGGACTTGTACCAACCCACAGAATCACAAAGTTAGAAGAGACAAGCTGGAATGTGTCCAGAAGAGGATGACTAAAATGATCAAAGGTCTGGAGAACAAGCCCTATGAGGAGCGGCTTAAAGAGCTGGGCATGTTTAGCCTGAAGAATCCTAGAGTTGGAAGAGACAAGCTGGAATGTGTCCAAAGGAGGGCGACTAAAATGATCATGGGTCTGGAGGACAAGACCTATGAGGAGCGGCTTAAAGAGCTGAACATGTTTAGCCTTAAGAATAATAGAATCATAGAATTAAACAGTTGGAAGAGACCTAATGGGCCATCCAGTCCAACCCCCTGCCAAGAAGCAGGAAAATCACCTTCAACCATCCCTGAGAGATCATAGAATCATAGAATCATAGAGTTGGAAGAGACCTCATGGGCCATCCAGTCCAACCCCATTCTGCCAAGAAGCAGGAATATTGCATTCAAATCACCCCTGACAGATGGCCATCCAGCCTCTATTTAAAAGCTTCCAAAGAAGGAGCCTCCGGGACAGAGAGTTCCACTGCTGAACGGCTCTCACAGTCAGGAAGTTCTTCCTCATGTTCAGATGGAATCTCCTCTCTTGTAGTTTGAAGCCATTGTTTCACATCCTAGTCTCCAGGGAAGAAGAAAACAAGCTTGCTCCCTCCTCCCTGTGGCTTCCTCTCACATATTTATACATGGCTACCATATCTTCTCCCATCCTTCTCTTCTTCAGGCTAAACATGACCAGCGGCTTAATCCTCATAGGGCTTGTTCTCCAGACCCTTGATCATTTTAGTTGCCCTCCTCTGGACACATTCCAGCTTGTCAATATCTCTTTAATTGTGGTGCCCAGAATTGGACACAATATTCCAGGCGTGGTCTAACCAAAGCAGAATAGAGCATGGGTAGCATTACTTCCCTAGATCTAGACACTATGCTCCTATTGATGCAGGCCAAAATCCCATTGGCTTTTTTTGCCACCACATCACATTGTTGGCTCAAGTTTAACTTCTTGTCCACGAGGACTCCAAGATCTTTTTCACACGTACTGCTCTCAAGCCAGGCATTGTCCCCCATTTTGTATCTTTGCATTTTGTAGAATCATAGAGTTGGAAGACACAAGCTGGAATGTGTCCAAAGGAGGGCGACTGAAATGATCAAGCATCTGGAGAACAAGCCCTATGAGGAGAGGCTTAAAGAGTTGGGCATGTTTAGCCTGAATCATCCTAGAGTTGGAAGAGACAAGCTGGAATGTATCCATAGGAGGGTGACTAAAATGATCATGACTCTGGAGAACAAGCCCTATGAGGAGCGGCTTAAAGAACTGGGCATGTTTAGCCTGAAGAATCCTAGAGTTGGAAGACACAAGCTGGAATGTGTCCATAGGAGGGAGACTGAAAGGATCAAGCATCTGGAGAACAAGCCCTATGAGGAGCGGCTTAAAGAGCTGGGCATGTTTAGCCTGAAGAATCCTAGAGTTGGAAGAGACAAGCTGGAATGTGTCCAAAGGAGGGTGACTAAAATGATCAAGGGTCTGGAGAACAAGCCCTATGAGGAGCGGCTTAAAGAGCCGGGCATGTTTAGCCTGAAGAATCCTAGAGTTGGAAGAGACAAGCTGGAATGTGTCCAGAGGAGGGTGACTAAAATGATCAAGGGTCTGGAGAACAAGCCCTATGAGGAGCGGCTTAAAGAGCTGGGTATGTTTAGCCTGAAGAAGAGAAGGCTGAGAAGAGACATGAGGGCCATGGATAAATATGTGAGAGGAAGTCATAGGGAGGAGGGAGCAAGCTTGTTTTCTGCTGCCCTGGAGACTACAATGCAATGGGAATTGAAGTCCAAAACACCTGGAAGGCCCAAGTTTGCCCATTCCTGATGCAGACTCATATAAATGTAAAACTTCCGTAGCATTGGGCCATGGCAATTAAAGTTGTGCAACAAGCTCATTGCCTCACCGCAGAATTATAGCAGTTTGACACTTACTTAAGCGATCCTTCATAGATCGAGGATGATGGTCTTCCAGATGCATTGTCTTAACAGTGGGTCTGTAGGTGGCTGTGCAGCCCTATTCTGGATCCACATGTTCTCCCGCAGTGAGGACATCGGTTTCCAAATGGAAGGCAGTCCCGATCAGGGTTGGCTTGACGTGCCTTCCTCTTGCCACATTTCTCCCTTTTGCCCTCCATTCGTGCCACTTTGATTTCTGCAGCACTGCTGGTCACAGCCGACCTCCTTTTGGAGCGCTCAAGAGCCAGGGCTTCCCAGTTCTCAGTGTCTATGCCACAGTTTTTAAGGTTGGCTTTAAGCCCATCTTTAAATCTCTTTTCCTGTGTGCTTTGTATGTTTTCACAGATGTCATTTTATATATTTCACAGGACACAAAATGACCTGAATGCTGTGGAGGAAGTCAGGAGAGAAAATGAAAGACAGACAGAACAAGGTCGCAATTGCAGGCAAGAGAGAGAGGGAGGAACAGAGGAGCCATTTTTAGGCTTCTGATTGGGCTATGGGAAGGGGTTCTGTTGTCCTGAGATATTTCCTATTTCCTTTTATTTGTTTACGATGCCCAACGTCTTGCCATCAGAGAATCATAGAGTTGAAAGAGACTCAAATGCCATCTGCAGCACTGCTGATCACAGCTGACCTCCAGTTAGAGCACTCAAGAGTCTGGGCTTCCCAGGTTTTGGTGTCTATGAGGTTGGCTTTAAGCCCATCTGGCACTACATTCTCTGCTGTAGCCTAATGCTTTGGAATGTTGGGATTTGCAGTGTGGTGAGATATGTAGCCCTATGAAGAGCGGCTTAAGGAGCTGGGCATGTTTACCTTGAAGAAGAGAAGGCTGAGAGGAGATATGATAGCCATGTATAAATATGTGAGAGGAAGCCACAGGGAGGAGGGAGCAAGCTTGTTTTCTGCTTCCTTGGAGACTAGGACGTGGAACAATGGCTTCAAACTACAAGAGAGGAGATTCCATCTGAACATGAGGAAGAACTTCCTGACTGTGAGAGCTGTTCAGCAGTGGAACTCTCTGCCCCAGAGTGTGGTGGAGGCTCCTTCTTTGGAAGCTTTTAAACTGAGGCTGGATGGCCATCTGTCAGGGGTGATTTGAGTGCAATGTTCCTGCTTCTTGGCAGAATGGGGTTGGACTGGATGGCCCATGAGGTCTCTTCCAACTCTTTGATTCTATGATTCTATGATTCTTCTGCGAAGATAGATGCACCCTTAGTCCAACACGCAAACTATTCAATGCATAGGTAGGCAAAAGAAGTGGTTCCTGCACTTGTTCAGAGGCACTCCTGAATTATTCATCAGCTCCTGCTCTCACTCACAATGCAAATTATAGTGTAAGACTGCATAGTGGGCTTGTGTGGGACAATTACCAGTATGTATTTCATTTGCTTAATCAGATACCATGGGCGTTTTGCTCCCAAAATAAAAACTGAAGCTCAGTATTAACTACCGGTAATACTGGACTCAGAGCCTCCTGACAAACACTGACCTTTCCTTTGTCCTGACCCTCTGTACTCACTTTGGTTGCTTTGTACCTCATTAGTTGCTAAGGAAATTATTTATCCCCCTGGACATTCAAGGTCTAGGTGAAGCAACAAGCTTTTCCCATCCTGAAAGAGGGGTCAGGGCAGGAGAAAGTCCCCCCAAGACTAAACCAGCCCTGAACTGAGCTTGATCTGGCCATATTGGACTTTCAGGATTCTTCTGCAGTTGAGCATCCTCTGGCATTATCAGACAGAAGGGTATTAAATGATGAAGCCCTAAGAAAGATTAAGGCAGAGATTGTCCTTGAGCTCTCCTAGGAATAACTAATCCTATACACATTTACTTGGGAGTAAGCTACACCGAGCACAATATGTATTGAACTTGGAAGACTCTAAGGCAGGCATGGGGAAACTTCGGCCCTCCAGGTGTTTTGGACTCCAACTCACACAATTCCTAGCAGCCTACCTGTGCTGGTACGTCTGTACCAGGAGCTCAAACTTCATTTTCTTTCTATTTTAATGTTTGCATGCATTCCAAGGTTTCAGGGATTTTGTACAAGGTGACTTCCCTTGGTTTGCAGTCATAGGGCTAGCCACCTGTCTATCATTGTTAAGTTTGGATCCGCCCCTTCTCCCAGGGAGATGGGAAGGGAAGAGGGGGCCATTTTTAGTTAGTCTTAGTGAGGAAAACTAAGTTAGAGGACATAGACAAGCTTCACCTGCAGAAAAGCTTCATTTCTCAAGACATTCCGGGGGGAAATTCCCAAAGCTCTGGCTGGGAGCTTGCAGCCTCTCAGCCTTACAGCATCTGAGGGAAACAGCCCTAAAGTCTTAAGAAATTCCGGAGGGAAAACAGCTTTACAGACCCAAAGAACTCCAGCTGGAGAATCTGCAAGCCTTTACTGGTAGGTCTACTCGGCACCAAGACGCAGTTTGGATCCGGTAGTAGAACCCACATCAGCAAAACTTAGATAATAGACAGCCTGGGAGAGGTTAAAAAAGGATTTTCCTCTCAAAGTATAAGAACAGTTAATGAAGACAGTTGCCTGTCCCTTTTAGACAAGATTAAGGAAGCCACCAGTTGATTTAAAGCCTTGAAGCATTTGTTTGACTCATTGAAGATTTGAGAAATATCTGTTTAATTTGTTCAGTAATAAAGGACTTTGTTAAACATTTCAAGCTATCTAAAGACCATTTCTTCAGGAAAATCCTTGAGGGCAGTTGGCTGGTCCAACAGCAGCTATGTTGTTGGCTGGAGTGGCATGCAGGGAGCATACTGCTCCTCTGTTGCACCAGCTCTGCTGGCTGCTGATGGGCTTCCGAGCACGGTTCAGGGTGCTGGTTTTGACCTTCGGGCCCCCGGAACGGTTCTGGCCTG